CAAGATGTAACCAAAAATAATAACTGAACAAATTTAGAAATAAAGAGCGTCTGCTTGGTTTTGTAATTTATACTCTTCTGGCTTATCAGATATTTTATCAATTGTGATTATCTTTTCTATAGATATTTTCGGTACAGTATCCCTGTCAATTTTCTTAGGCCTTTTAAATTTAAGCTGACCTTTACTACGTGTTGTAACATAAAATGAAATGTCAAAAGTATCATCATGATTACAAGCCGAAATAACCCCTATGTAATATTTCCATTTATTTTTAGTATAATAACGAACCAAAACTGTATCGTTCACAGAGTAATTCATAGACGTCTGTTCATTTTCACTTGAGGGACTTGGTATTTTATCTGATAGCATAATATCACCGTTAAAAATTAAATCTTCGGTTGGTGAACAACGCGCTTGTGCATAAGATGTGCCAGGTATAATAGATTCACAAATATGTGGAAATGAAGAAATTTTCGAATTAGTAGAGCTCATCGATTCGCGACGAGAAACAGTGGACGAGACTATATCTTGATTGCAATTGGAATCACATAACATGTCGACGGATATCTGATCGTCTTTATAATTCAAAGCAGGTTCATTATCATTATTTGATGAACATAGTAGTCTTGACCGTTTCAAACAGTATAATGGAATATCATCAGAATCTGTATCGTTTTCTGGAATATCAATTATACTAGAGTCACTATGTTTACTCATGTCATCAGAGACACTTGTAGTTGAACCAGAATAAACTAATGTATTCTTTATTTTATATTTTTGTAACCCTGTCTTTTGCAGAGGTAAATTAGACATTTTCTTGAAAGATTGCCCTGGCCTAATTATTTCTTCAGACAAAACTTTTATTCCCAAATCTCTTACAGGTTTAATCCGACTTCCAATACTTTTTGAAGTTTGCAAACAGGTAGGCATATTCTCAGTACTAATGAAAGGTAAATTTTCTTCTGTATTAGTTGCTTGACTTAGATAACGAACGTTCGAGCTTGTTATGTTTAAATCTGAATTTTTATTTGTAGATCTCCCTGAGCTTTTCTTAAGTTGGTCTGCCTCTTCCGTTGAAATTGATTTGCCGGCTATTACTGATAACTTTTTATTTGCACTTTTTTTGGACTGGGTGGTTGAGCTTCTCATATTTTTTAAATATTGCAATAGACAAACATCAAAATGTTTGGATGTTTCTGACGAAACCACTGGAATCTTTTTTAAGACCCTCGATGGATTAAATGGAAATATTCCTGCAGCTGCGAAACCGCTACGTAAGTTTTCACTTTGGCCCATTTTTATTTTTGTCATTAGTTCATGTAGTAGCTGCGGAAAATCACATTTATTTATTGTCGAGTTTTGTAGTTTGGAGAGTTTATACCGTAGCAATATATCTCGCCAGCATCGTTTCATAGGCCCGAAAAAGGCGACGTCAAGGGGCTGGGTAAGATGGGTTGCGTTTGACGGTAAAAATATTAATTTAATATTATTTTCTTGGCACAATTTCACAACTTCAACACTTAAGTGTGAAGATAAATTGTCACCGATGACTACTTTTGGCCCTTCGCGTGATTTTGCCCAAGGTAAAACGATTGTCTCAAACCAATTGTCAAAACACACCATATCAAACCACCCTGATTTGGTGCGATTATACCTCGCGTTTGGTGGACCGAACTCGCACCATCGGGACCATAAGTTGTCGGCCTTATAAACGACGTAAGGTGGCAAAATTTCTCCATCTGCTGTACTGCTGAACATTATTGAAACCGAGCTTTTAGTTGCATTGAGGACGCGTTCAGGATGTTTAGTCCCCCGCTTAAATATTGCCTTATTTGACCCTGGGTCATCGCTTAAGTTGGTTTCATCAAAATTCAGAATACTTGCAGGAGGAACATCTTTAAGTGATAATTCCATATTTTCGAAAAAAGCTGTCATTTCCTCGACAGTTTTTGATGCCCGGCTGCGTTTAATATTTTGGGTGGCCCTCTGTGTAAAATCGTGACGTGTTAAAAAATTGCGAGCCCATCGGTCACCAGGCATTCGGCCTTTAAACATATCCGTCTTTCCACATTTCGAAAGGTAATTATATACCACTATCCTCAAATCTACTAATGTAAGTGGACTCCCGAAATCTGCAGCAACTTCAACAACTTCTGCAATATGTTGCTCTTCTTCTGCCGACAGTTCCTGTGGGCGACCTACCGCTTTATTGTGTATACTTTTGCATTTATTTAAAATTGTACGTCTCGGAATTCCGAATTGTTTTTCAGCTTCATACGACGATAGTGCTTTGCTTTTTACCAAATCTACAGCAACGGCTAATGTCTCTTCAGAGTAATCTGCATATCGCCGAGCTCCAGTTTTTCTTCTATTTCTATTTCCCATCTTTTCCTCTATTGGTCTGAAAACCTGAAAACGTGCACTAGTAAGAATTGTTTACTTTTTTTTTTTAATATTAATATATTCCGTGTTTCGGAAAGCACGTATTATGGTCATGATCGCCATCCAGAGATCGTTAACTGAACTACCTACGTCAGAGGACTGCGGGCAGTTCAGAAACTTTGACACGAGGGTGGTAGAGCCGATTGACCTTGCCCACCTCATGATAACATGTACAGTAATATTAAAAACTGAATAAAGAACTGTACTAAACTTTAAATATGTGATAATTTTAAATTTGTGATAATTAAAACGCATCATCAATAGTTATCACAGCGCATGCCTACTACTGCATTTTTGTAACAATCTCAAATTTAAAAAATATAGTCTACCGTACCTTTTTATAAGTGTTCTTTTTTTTAAGTTTCTTAAAAGAAATCGTTATATTTTTTTATTAATTGTCTAAAATCTAAATAAAACTTCTAAACTATATAGCCTCACTTTGAACAAATCCTTAACTTAAGTAATAGTTTGAGATTTATAAGAATAACTCTGCTTATGCAGCTAGTTAAAATCGCAAGTTCATAACTTACTATATGCTTTAATGCTGTAGTTTATAAGTGACAACCCTAGCTGTAGGCAATCTTGTAGCACGATTAGCCAAAAACCATTTGCAAATATTGCCTACCTTAATTTCAGATGAAATTGATCACAATAACAACAAAAACCAATAAAAACCGTTAAAAGAGCATATTTACTTACCTCGTAAACAAAAGTACAATTCTATTTTTCGATTTTTCCTAGGAAGAAACAAAAGTTTCGCGACCACTTAAAAAACGTTCCCTCCACTTTTAACAATTGACAGCAAACTGACGTAAAACCGTCAGAGTTGCCACTTTGAAATGTAATAAAACGGGTTGCCAATATAATGATAATATTTCTCCCATTTCCAAAAAAATAATATATGTTGCTATTCCCAAATTATGTTGATTTTAGTTAATTAGGCAAACTTGAAGCTCACTGGCAAAGTTGAAGCAGTTTACGGTACTTTAAAAATACAATCAGCACCGACAATAGCTTTATGTAGAGTTACTTTCAATATAATAACAATAGACGCGCATGTGCAGAATAGATTGTCAAAATGGCAGTATTTAAATTTATTAAGAAGACCTTAAACCAAGAAGGTCAGAAGCAAAGCAGTCTCCCTCAACACTTCACTCTGGCCGGCCTATGACGTCTACGACTGAAGAAAACATCGCGAAAATCTGTGAAAGACATTCAGTAATAATGACAGATCGGAGATTAACCATCAGGGAGATTGCAGACACTATTGGCATCTCGTATGAAAGAACACAAAACATCATAGACAATGAACTTGGATTTTCTAAGGTTTCTGCGCGGTGGGTACCCAGATTGCTTTCAGTCGAATAAAAACGAATACGCCTCACGATTTCTGGCGACTGTTTGGAAATGTTTGAGGCTGATCCACAATATTTTTTATTCAGATTTGTAACAATGGATGAAACTTGGGTACACCACTACACCCCAGAGTCAAAACAGCAATCCTAGCAGTGGAAAAACGTGATGAACCGACTCCAAAAAAAAAACCATAACAATTTTGTCAGCTGGCAAAGTGATGGCGTCAGTTTTTTGGGATGCTAAGGGTGTCATCATGGTGGCCTACCTTGCAAAAGGTGAAACTATAAACTCGGCTTATTACTGCACCCTCTTACGTCACTTGTGCGAAACAATCAAAGAGAAAAGGCCAGGATTACTCAGCAAGAAAGTGTTGTTCCATCAGGATAATGCACGCGTTTACGTCTGTTGAATCTAAGGCAAAAATTCGTGATTGTGGCTTTGAATTACTGCCCCATCCCGCCTATTCCGCTGATTTAGCACCTTCAGATTTTCATTTATTACCAAACCTAAAAAAACACCTTGGAGGTCAAAAATTTTCATCAAATATGGAGGTTAAAGCTGTGGTGGGTGACTTTTTTGAAGGCCTTGAAGAAACTTTTTTTATAACCGGCATACAGGCGTTGGAAACCAGATGGAAGAAGTGCATAGAGTTAAGTGGAGATTACTTGGAAAAATAAAATTACTTTTGCTTGTATTTTACATTGTTTACTTGCTGAGGCCGTGAACTTTTCAATCCACCTTCGTATATATAATCAAAACCTATGCTCGTTTATATTTTTATGTTTGTAACGGTGTGCTGTACCCCCTTTTATTTTGGCCTTTGACTAATCAAATATACTCTTTATGGATATCTGTTTGTTAAAAAAAACTTTTGTTGTGAATATTGAAAATGTATAAATTTAAATATAAAAATTTTATTAATGAAGATATGTTATTAAAATAAAATAATAAATTCCTGAAACTTGGACGATCCAAGCTTTTATTAAGAAACCCAAAAAGGGGTATGTATTTGTTTTATTCGGTAATTTTCAATTTTATATTTAGTTTAACATACAAACTATTTTTGTATTCATTTTTTATTTGTTACAGTTTGTTTTTTTTACCATTTATACCACAAAATAAATCTATTCTCAAGCTAGTCAGCCTTTTATTATTTGCCCAAGCATCGAACCTATCACATGTTATACTATCTCAAGACTCACCTTATCAACATGTGGATGCCAATACTCATCATGGATATTGGAAGGTTTTCTTGATGTCAATTCAGAAAAAAATGTTGGAGAAGTTAAATATAACTTATTTGGATCAGCACCAAAATGTTGTGCGACAGCATACTTAATTTTTTCTTTGATAACCTGATATTAAAAACAATTATTATGCTACAGTCAATTAAATAATGTATTTAAAAACTAATTGCTTTTTCCCCTTACCCTTAATATGTTGTAGTCATTCTCAGAAAATAAATATTTTGTTGCTTCAATTTTATAAATATTGATAAAATGTTGACCTTTAGATAAAGCTCCACTATGTAAGTCTAGTATAGAAGCTCCACCATCAGAGCCTCCAAATTGAAAGCCCTTCTTAGCTATTTTAAGCAAATTATCTACTTCTCTTGCAGAAACCACTTGATCTGTTACAAATCTTTTACACTCTTTTGGATAACACTCATCATATTTGTTAATCTCATTTATGTAATCCTGTGAGCATTCAACCACTAGACCTTTTCCAATTAATGTTTCAGTTTGACTAGCAAAAGTTATTACTTTTTCGTCTTTTGATGAGAAATATACGACGATAAGGAGAGATGAAATCACAACTATCCGTGAAAAAACCCTCAGTGAAATACTGCCATTACCTAAACTATAAAATAAATATAATTTCTTTAAAGTAAAATGTATGTACCCATTACAAATATTGATTTAGAGTTAGAGACAACATTAATTCATGAATACTCACGAATGATTGTTAGTTTTATTTTCAATTTTATTATCTATTACGGATGGTTTTTCAATAGCAACTTCCTTATTTCTTTTTCTTATTTCTGACATTTCCAATTTGGAAGATAGTTTTACAAAACGTTTGGCGTTAAAATTTTTGGGTTTTACAACTTTCAGACTCGGACTCTGACAACTTTATTAATATATAGTTTTATTATTTCTTGATCAAGGATTGTATATATTGTTAACTTTCATTAAATCACAGACTTAGTAGGTATCAGACGACCAACTTCCTAACAAAAAATTTCTTCGTAGAACGCGATTGGGAGCCAGTGATACATGACAGATTCATTCGTTTTAAATATTAAGATCTACTATCGGCAAAGGCATTTGGCTATACAGCCCTTTTTTGGGTAGGTACCTAGCCGTCTTCCTATTTTCCATATTATTTCTACTTTAATTTTAATACAACAATAATAATAAAGCAGACTGATAAGTCTAGCTTATTATTATTGTTGTATTAAAACAAAAAAGGCAAAACGAACACGTAAATGAAACATACATTTGTCCAATATTATTTATTGAATCATTTATTTTTAACTTATTATATTTTTCACAGCTTTCTTCTGCATTCTCGGCAATTCCTAGTTACGTTTTTTAGTGGCACAACCTTATGAAACTTTTCAAGATAATCACAATTTTTTTAAAGAGGGCACTGATTTTTGCATACCTTTTTATACACATATTTAAGTTTTTCTAAAATTTCAATTGCCTTTGGCCAGAAAGAATGATGGTGTGTCTTATCTGTCACAGCTCTTTCCTTTAAGGTTTTTTTGTTTATCGATGCTCCATTGACACTATCAAATAATTGGTCAAAGAATGAAACAACTTCAGCTGTATTTCTTAATGTTGTGCTGACGGGTCTGCCATCCACATAAGTTGCTGCAAATTAAAATATTCATATAATAATTGTATGAAACTTGAATTAAAACTATTAACTGTTAATAAATTTCATCTAATACTCACAGAAATTTGCAGTGCAAGACAAAGCTGCAGACATAATGGCTCAATATTTTTACACAATTTTTTACCTACAAAAAGAGATATCATATTTAAAATTATCTTCATTAGAGAATCATTATTGTAATTTAAGTGTAAACCATACATTAACTACTGGTAACATAATTAAAAATACAGGTCATTGAATCAACACTTGCTCTATATAGGATATAGAAGCTGAATACAAATTATTTCTTTTATTTGCATTACCTTCATCTTTTTAATTTTATCAGGTATAACTCATAGGTCATTTAATTTATGACGTAGCCCAGCTTCAGTGTGTTGACAGTCTCTCTCATAGACATAAATAATATCATGCCATTTTGCAAGTTTACCATCTAATATTAAATTTTTTGTTGAAAAATTGTTCCTGATACATTTTATCAAGTGTGTAGAATCATAATGTTTAAATTCACCCCACATATTTTAAGAATGGCAACTGAAACAAAAATTTAAGAACTTCTTAAAACATAGATAACAATATAATAATAAGAACCTTCACTGCTTTCATTAAATCTATTAGTTTTCTTTCATATAAATATAATTCTCTGTACCAACCTGTAATTTCATTTTAAACGTAGTGTCTTCTTTTAGATTTTTGAGTGCTGATTGGAAAGCTGAGCCTTGGTCATATATTATTGCGATGAGATTAAGGTCCCATTCAACAACTTTTTCTACTACTGACTTTAAAATATTCTTGATGTTTACAGTAGATGTAGCTCCTTGACAGAAATAGTAACATAAAGGCTGTTGCCACTTGTAAACAGCACCAACATAAATACAAGAGTATGATCTGCAAAATCCACTTTCTTTTCTTGGTGTTCTACAAATCCATTAATGTTATCTTTAATCCTTATTACTTTTATTATACGAAGTGCTGTTTCTAATGACATCTCATCAAATATAATGGAGCATATTTTTTTGGAGTTTCATTTGTCCACCTGAAAAAGTAAATTCAAATAGATAGGTACATATTATTATTTGGTAGTAATACAAAAAGTTATAAAAGTAGTATGAAAAACCTTATATGGAATATATTCACCTCTTACATGAAGCCTGGTTCTATGATCAATTTTTCAATAATAGTATTCAGTGTGGTTTTGGATGATAAAATAAAAATTTTGCTTAAAAATCAATAACATTTTGGACTCTGCTTTGATATTGATAAAGCAATTATCTTTTCTTTGATAGTGAATCACCTCTCATGTTTATTTTTAGAGCACATGCTCACTTGCATTTCAAAGACATTTTTTGCAACTGTGTTCATTTTTTGTGTGAACTTTTCAAATGATAACTTTTTACAAAACTTAAAGGTATTTAAGTATTCTTAACTTTTTTATGAAAGTTCAACTATGTCTTTGGCTTGTTATATTCTTCATAAATTCTCTGGTATAAAGGTGACAATTGGCTTTATTTGGTAATAAGCTTTTTCCTTTTTGTTTGGGTACATTTCACAGGGTCTGTAACATCAAAAGTATTCAGTGAATTTCTCTATTAGAACTACTATTTGATTGAAATAATAAAGATACACTAAAGAAAGAGACAGGTCTTACCAGATAATTTAGTTTGTGTCATTTTTTATCTCCAGAACAAGCAACTAATTGAGTAAACTCAGTGGCTGCAGACACAGGAGTCTCAATTTGTTCTTTGAAAATTACACCACCTATGAAATCAATATTGATTATGTGTGTGAGATTAAAAAACAGGATATAATCTTAGATGATATTAGAAATATGTTATTTATATTATAAATTTTTTCTCTGATCAAAATCACTTCTAGCATGCCCGCTAGAGTTAAATAACTTGATGTAATTTTTCTTTATGTGTGTAAGAAAGACAGATCTACTAGACTTTATTAAAGCAAAAATCTATGTTAAAATACACCAAAACTGCAGCATGAACTTTGTTATCTAAATAAAATAAATTAAAAACAAACCTCTATTCAGTTCCACTTTCTAATATGTGTGGTCAACATGACTTTTTCTTGCATAGCTGTGTTCCCAAGCGAATATAATTTCTGTAATAACAAAAAAATCTAATGAAGAATAGCGGTATTCCAAAACACAATATAAAGTGAAGATACATATCATTTTAATTACATTATCTAAAGGTAATAGCAGATTAAACCAGATTGAAAGCCCATCATCATTAAACAATGACGGATATGCGTCACCCAAGAGTCGTGATTTTGGAGTAATGAATCTTGGTACAACGTGTTTGCTACAAATAACCCTTCTGCCTGGATTCAAATTTTCAGTATCACACACAGCACTAAGACATTGTAACCACTTGGAGAATCTTTTCTCGTTCACTAGAATCTTACAAAGAATAGCGTCCTGTTCGTTCTTTAACAATGCGTGTAGCACAACCATAACACAACACACCAATTTCCTAGGCATCTTCTACAAAGAAAAATACTTCGAAAAAAGGAGAGTTTATATTACAAATAAAGCGAAGAGGGTAAGCACAAACGAAACTACTCAATCACTTGTAATTCCCTGATATGTAGGTACATACTTTAGTCTTCTACTTCTTTTATTAATGGCATATCTGCGCATTTCACGCAATTTTGCCAATGTGAAGTGAATAAATTAATTCCAACATGTAAAATGAAAATGAAATGAATTAAAGATTAATTAAAACATTAGTATCTTTACTCTTTGTTGTAATGACAGTTTCTGTCAAGTGTCATGTCTCCATCTGCTGACAGGGGTGAGGGGCGTGTGGAAATGTCATACATCACTGGACCCCTACGCGATTGGTTTCTTGTACGGAGTTGACGGGCCGTGCATTAAATTAAAATTGTACCTGAAAAGAGATAAATCTTTTTTTTCTTTTTTTTTTTTTTGGCTTGCACGGTTTATGCATTAGCCACAACGGAGTTTAAAAGGTAGGGAAATCATTTTGAGGAATTGAATGAAAGAGCGGGATTTGGAAAGGATAATAGGATCAGGATTTAAATAAATATTAGAAATATATTATGATATATATTTTTAACTGAATGTTATGTTCTGTTATGTAATATGATATTAACTTATATATTTCAAAATTAATACAGTTTAAAAGGATTTACATGGATGTAGGAAGGGAAGTGCGAGCAGATATTAAAGAACTAATAAAAGAGGAGCAATCATGGAGGAGGCATTCGAAGAAAATGTGGTTTAAGTCCTCAACACACTAGTGTTACTGTGGTACTGACCACAAGCACATAGACTACTGTCAACTATTCCTAATCTAGCAAGATGAGAGACAGAACGAAAATGCCCTAAACGCATTCTAAAGAGACTTGTAGTAGCATATTTACTTAAATGCATTCTAAAAAAACATGGTTTGTGAGGTATTGACTCCTGAATAGATTTGTAAGTTCTACCTTTAGTATGACTTGCAGTATCCCATATTGCTTCCCACGATTTATACAGATATGATTTAGGGAGGGATAAGATATCTTGTATTAAATTTTTATAGGGGAAAACATCTCCACATTCCACCGCATCTTTAGCAAGTCTGTCCGCTATTTCGTTACCAGTAATATTATGATGGCCAGGTATCCACACAAAAACAATTTTTAAACCTTTTATTTTACAGTTAAGTAATAATTTCCTACATTCAATACAATTAATTAAATACGTGTTAGAGATACGAGATTTGAAAGGATTTTTTTCTAATGCTTGTAAAGCATTTTTAGAATCGGAAAAAATTATGGCGTTCTTAAGGTTTGCAAGTAAAATATATTCTAATGATTTTAAAATTCCATAGCACTCTCCTGTATAAAAAGAAGTTTCAGGTGGTAATTTTACTTTTTGAATTATATTGTATTGTTCATGATAAATACCAATCCCAACTAAGTCAGATATATGTTGTTTAGACGCATCGCAATAGACATAATGCCAAGCAGGCCATTCTGAATCAATAATATATTTAAAATTAATATTAGCGTTAGGGTCATTTTTAACAACGTTTAAATTGTAGTGAACTTTAGGAGCAATAACAAAAGATTCATAATTTACTGAAAAAATAGGCAGGTACTGTAAACGGTGAGAAGGTGCTTGTAA